TGAGTAATTGCACAGTGTCATCGTCGTCGTCATTTCGCCGTGGAAAATTCAATAATGTGCGCAGCGCAACACACATGCAGTTTCCCGTTTCTGCGACGGCTGACTGTGCCTGTGTGTGTTGGTGTTCGGTGTGTGCGTGTTGTAACCTCAGCCAGGTGTGTGCGGTGTGTGCGAGGGAGAGGAGGCGATGCCAGATCGTGCGATGCAAATTTTCCGCATTTCCCTAGTTTTCCGCTGCCCATAGACGATTCCTTTGTAACCCGGGTGTCCCAGTGAATCATCCATGCATTCAGACATCCCGGCCAGATGGAGAAGAGGAAGAAGTATTCCCCTCGGCAACAGAGAGGGAATGCGTGTATGTGTGAGAGAAAGAGAGAGAGTGAGTGTGTGGATGAAAGGCAGAGAGCGGCACAGTGGAGCGCCTTCAGCACAGTGGAAATTTTTGAGTTTTTGCTGACGCTGTCTAATTTTAAAATTTAGTTCAGATTTCTTTTGTTGAAACAGTTGGCTACACGCGATCTGTGCGTATGCAAGTGTGAGTGTGGGAGGAAGAGAAGAAGGGAGTCGGAAATCTAAATCCAGTGGCCTTGAACGTGATCCTGACTCTTGAACAGTGCTGCCCATCGAACTAAGGGCGGCAAGGGCTAGGGACAGTGCTGCCCAATAACGCAGAGAAACTGCAAAATTTGCCTTAAACTTCTGTTTATGATTAAAAATGCAAGAATTTTAAAGTTACTTTAATAACACATTGGGGGAAAACAATCAAGCAAATAATACAACAAATACATTCCTATTCTAGCCCTTGACTATGAATACTTAATGGAGTTGATAAAGTTTGAAGGGCAAGTGGCTTTTCCCACAAGCTGGCGAATTTTTAAATTGCATGGTCTTAGTATCCCTGGATAAGCGAACCCTTGAGGTGTTCATGATAGTAATTTCTTAAAATACTGGGTAACTTCCATGGTAGTTATTAAACAGTTAATAATTATAACGGTTATTACATGTGTTTCGGATGTTTCAGTTATCGGAACAAATAAGGAACATATATTTACCACAATAGCTTAACTCGGCAATTCTTCATCATTCTAGACTCTGGGTTCTTTTGTTTTAATCTCTAAAAGGTAATCGAAAAAAATACAAACGTGTCTGGCTTTCGTAGATAAGGAAACCACAACATTGCTAGGAACCTGTTCCGGTATTTCGACCTTGTATAAAATATCCAACCCCATTTGTTCTGAGTTTTTAAAACAAATGCTTATTTCTTTAATAAAATAAAATTCAAATTCGTAGCACCCCAAGTCTGGGAAGTCTATAGTTTTGATTTGCTGTCATAACTTGTGCCGGCTGAATAACACACAATATCGAAAACCTTTGGCACAGCAAGACCGAAATAAAATCCTCGAAAGAGAACAAAATACCAGTTAAGTAATTATTTCCCGATTTGATCCACTTTCAGCCGGAAGAATGTCATCCGCCGCAAAGAAACGCGACGCGCAGAAGAAGAAGGATGCGCGCAACAAGAAGATCCAACAGATACCCTCCACGAAGAAGGCCAATGGTGCTCCGGAACGCGAACTGACCGAGGAGGAGAAGCTGTGCGCCAAGCTCGAGGAGGAGGCCCGGATCAGTGCGGAGGCCCGATCCTGCACCGGATCGCTGGCGGTGCATCCGCGATCCCGTGACGTCAAGATCGCCAATTTCTCGATCACGTTCTTTGGCTCCGAGCTGCTGCAGGACACCATGCTGGAGTTGAACTGCGGACGTCGCTACGGTCTGATTGGCCTTAACGGATGCGGAAAGTCCTCGCTGCTTGCTTGTCTCGGAGGCAGGGAGGTGCCCGTACCGCCGCACATCGACATCTTCCATTTGACGCGCGAAATCCCGGCCAGCTCGAAAAGTGCGCTGCAGTGCGTCATGGAGGTGGACGAGGAGCGCATCAAGCTGGAGAAACTGGCCGAAGAGCTGGCCATGAGCGAGGAGGACGATGCCCAGGAGCAGCTGATCGACATCTATGAGCGGCTGGACGATATGTCCGCCGATCTGGCGGAGGTCAAGGCGGCCCGCATCCTTCACGGTCTTGGCTTCGACAAGGCTATGCAACAGAAACAGGCCAAGGACTTCTCTGGTGAGTTACTCTCTCTGTGCCCCGAATCTATTAACTTATCCATGTTCTTTCTATCCTGCCCCCAGGTGGTTGGCGTATGCGTATCGCCCTGGCCCGCGCTCTGTTTGTGAAGCCCCATCTGCTGCTGCTGGATGAGCCGACGAATCACTTGGATCTGGACGCCTGTGTGTGGCTGGAGGAGGAGCTGAAGACATACAAGCGCATCCTGGTGCTCATCTCGCACTCGCAGGATTTCCTCAACGGTGTCTGCACGAACATCATCCACCTGACGGGCAAGCGGCTGAAGTACTACACGGGTAACTATGAGGCTTTTGTGCGCACACGCATGGAACTGCTAGAGAACCAGATGAAGCAGTACAACTGGGAGCAGGACCAGATTTCGCACATGAAGAACTACATTGCTCGCTTCGGTCACGGTTCCGCCAAGTTGGCGCGACAGGCGCAGTCCAAGGAGAAGACGCTGGCCAAGATGGTGGCCCAGGGCCTCACCGAGAAGGTGTCCGATGACAAGGTGCTCAACTTCTATTTCCCATCGTGCGGCAAGGTGCCACCACCCGTGATTATGGTGCAGGTTAGTATTTATTTTTAATTGACCATAGATAATTGTAACTAACGATGCTTCCTGCCTGCCATAGAACGTTAACTTCCGGTACAACGATGAAACACCTTGGATCTACAAGAATCTGGAGTTCGGTATCGATCTGGACACACGTCTCGCCTTGGTGGGACCCAACGGAGCCGGCAAGTCCACGCTGCTGAAGCTGCTTTATGGCGATCTGGTGCCCACCTCCGGCATGATCCGCAAGAACTCGCATCTGCGTATCGCTCGCTACCACCAGCATTTGCACGAGCTTCTCGATTTGGACGCCAGTCCGTTGGAGTACATGATGCGCGCCTTCCCCGATGTCAAGGAGAAGGAGGAGATGCGCAAGATCATTGGTCGCTACGGACTGACAGGTCGCCAGCAGGTCTGTCCGATCCGTCAGCTGTCCGACGGCCAGCGGTGTCGCGTCGTGTTCGCCTGGCTGGCCTGGCAGGTGCCGCACCTGCTGCTGCTTGACGAACCTACCAATCACTTGGACATGGAGACCATCGACGCGCTCGCCGATGCGATCAACGATTTCGACGGAGGCATGGTGCTAGTTAGTCACGATTTCCGTCTGATCAACCAGGTAAGCAATCAACATACTCTTTATAGTTCATTTTACGATTAAATAATGGAAATGCCTGTTAATCAATTATGGAAATCTATTGTATATGCCCATTTGTAATCGTTTTCCTTTCCTTTCCAGGTGGCCGAGGAGATTTGGGTGTGCGAGAAGGAGACGGTGACCAAGTGGAAGGGTGGCATTCTGGACTACAAGGACCATCTCAAGAACAAGATCACCTCCGAGAACGAGAAGAAGGCCAAGGCGGGAAAGTAGATGCTATCTAGTGGATAGATGCCAACTCCCACACACCCGCACACACACAGTCGCGCACCCACAACCCCCAAACACCCAAAACACCCCACAAACCAGCCACAAACCATCCACACAAGGACATTCAGACCACTATATCCTTCCTCTTCAATAGGCGGCGGGTGATATCCGGATTTTGGGCTGCCCGCACGCTCGTCGTAATTCATTCTGTGCGAAATTAGTCTTGAGTTTACACTACGCTATAGTCAAGTCATGTAAACAGCAATTCGATCGGCAAACAACCATCAACAATAAATCGAAAACAACCAATCCTAAACAACCATACATAACAACACACCACTACCGTTGAGAACTCAACAAGAATACACAAATTTTAGCTGAATTTTTTTCATTTTATGTGTCGATTTAAACTAAATAAAAATTATAAATATATTAAAGTGGACAACAACATCAACAACAACCAGGAACTACAACTTATAAATACAACCAACCAACTACAAAACAGCTTGTGATCTTGCGCTTATATAATTTCGTTTAATTCTTCGCTAGGTTTCATATATAAAAACAAAAACATATATATAAAAATATATTTTATTTTTTGTAATTTATTTACGCCTTAACTATATATTTACACATTAAACAATTAAAATTACAATAACAAAAGTATGTAATTAAAGATCTGATTAAGCGAGTCGAACCAAAATGTGTGAGAAACGATGTTAAACTGCCCTCCCAAATCCGAACCGTGATTTTGTTGCTCGCGGATTAGACAAAGACAGCGTGTGCTTAGCGATTCAATATTCGATTTAAATTAAATGAAACAAACAAAACATAATACAGGCAATGGAAGGATTAATGGGTATTACATGAAACGTACATGCATATACATATATGAAAATTTACAAATTACATAAACAAAAAAGAAAAAACAAGATATTATAGGTTATTTAACAAATTGGAATTGTAAACTCCAGCGAAAAACAAAACGTTTTGTATGCAAACACAAAAAACAAGAAACATATACAATGCGATATAGAAATCTAATCAATTTGATGCTGAATATCAGTTGTGGCAGCCGAAATGTGTCGTATTAATTAGCTAACTTAATTGAGAAATTGCTAAGATAAAACAGAAGTTGCTTGACAAGGTAAATAAACAAATTAAATGACCAAAATATTGCAAAATCATGGCTCCTTTTTTAGTGGGTCTTTGAAAAGTTGGAAGGGACTTTTTCGTTTAATTTTTTGGAATTTTAAGAGCTGTTCAAAGAAAGTTTCGGAAGTTTCCCTAGTACAATTTATATTTCTTATAGAGGGGTTCAGTTTTTTAAGGTCAACTTTAGACTACCAGAAAATTAACTTTCATTTTCAATTTTTTTAATCAGCACAATTCTATCTACCTTTTTAATAATAAATGAATGAGGCTTCTGGGAAATCAAACAAAAACACTCCTTGTGGTCCTCTTAATCTCCATTCGCATTTCTTTATTTATTGTACAAATCTCAAACTGGTTTTCTTAAACGTTATTACATTCCATTGCGCTTCGCACCGTCTCTTTATTGCTGCATTCACCTGGTCTTTCGTTAATTAATGTTTATTTGTTTTTTATGCGTGTAGGCACGTTCAAAGGTTAGTTGGTAGACTTGGTTACACTTAAGCGATAGTGCTTAACATGTGCTATTCAGTGGTAATGACCCAATAGTATATAATGTACAGTAAGATCCCTTAGTCCATAATCTAGTAGCTCCTGGACAGTTCCACATGCATGACCGTCAGAAGCTGTCTTTCCACGTCACTCAGAGCTCCAAACTCCGATCCAAAGTCGCGAAGCAGATGCTTAAGATCGCACATCTTGCGCTCCACCCAGGCACACGTAATCTCCGCCAGCGCGTACTGCTGCTGCTCCGGCACAAACGCACCCGGACGCTCCACCGAACCACCATCGTCCGCCGAGCTGGGACGCGCCTCAAACTGGGCCAGATTGTAGTAGTACTCAATCAGCTTAATGTGGGCAGGTGACTGGCGGGCGGGCGGCAGATTCAAATGGACCAGGAGCAGCAGACGCAGTACCTCAACGCGCCGCAAGAGATCCCCGTACATGCGAGCCCCGCGTCGCTCGTAAACATTGTCCACAATGTCGTCGTAGTGCTGCAGGGCACTCCGGAAGTCGCCGCGCTGACCACATGTGTCGGCGCTGATCTCCAGGTCGTGGATCTGATGGGTGGGCGAGGCGAAGCTGCTGGTGCTGTCCAGTTGGCGCTGCAGCTGCTTCAGTTCTCGTAGGATAGCCGCCTTGAAGACGCCCTCGTCCACCGCTCGATCCGCGGCACGGTGATAGCAGTGCAGGGCCCCCTCCCGGAAGCCCGAGTGCCGGGTGCGCAGGTGCAGCTGGCCAGATTCGTTGTGTGCCGCCAGGAAGGACCGCGCTGCCCGCAGGTAGGCCTCCGATTCGCGCTGCGGGGCGCCGCCGTAGGACTCGCACTTGGCAAAGCCGATGTGGCACATGGCCGCGTACTGCTGGATGCCCGACTCCTCGAAGCTGTAGGCCAGTCGCTGGAAGTCCGCCTGCACATCGACCACGCTGGGCGCAAAGCGTCTGGGGATCACAGGAACAGAATATTAATGGTCTCGCATATACTGACATGGGTTAGCTAACAATTATTAATAACAAAAATATAAAGACCGCGAATTCTTAAGGATCGGATCACGGGTTCATTAGGAGCACAAAAATATTAGTTAGGATATCCTCCATGCTAATATATTATTCTAGATAAAAAACAAGATACTTGTTTAGTATAAGATTAGTACGATTAGTACTGAGATCAATGTAGGGAGTGTTTGAAAATGGAATATATACATTGGACCCTTTTATAGTCTTTAATATCTACGATTTCTAACCAAGTAATAGTAATATCTAAATTTGTGTTATGAATTTCAAGAAATGTCTACATAGTTACATATGAGGGTAAATCACCTACATAAGTATCTCCTCCCAAGCCATACTAAAATATTTATCTAGTGGGATCCAAAAAGCCTTAACTATACTAACTTAAAGAAGCCGGCCCGCTCGAACTTCTTGATCTTGCTGGAGGCCCTAAGATATTGCTCGATCAGGTTTTTGGGGTACTGCTCCAGTTGGTGGTGCTCCGAACCAGAATTCCCGCTGGAGGATCCACCGCCGACCAGGCTACCGCCGCGGAGTTTGTCCATGCTACAGCATGTGGGTCACCTTCTCCACGTAGGTTGACTTGGATCGCGTTAGTTGTTCATTATTTAAGGCCAAATTTGATTATTATTATTATTTGTTTTGTGAATTCGTCATAGGCGGTGTGACCATACCGTGGACCGCGGAGGAAAATACTAGTTGCAAGTCGGTATTGGAAGTAATGTTTACACTACCATTATCTTAACTGATTTTGGTTTGGCAAACCATTTTAAAATTAGAAATAGCATAAAAATATTAATAAATGAGACAAACTATGCCTACAATAATATTTATATATGCCAAATTGGCAAATTCAAAAGAATATTTCCAAAAAGATAATTTTGTCCAACAACAAAGTGATAATTTGCATCTGCCAGTGGAAACGTACGTATATCCCACAATATAGTATATTTTGGTATTTCCTAAAGGTCACGCTGCTGTCACACCAGATACAGCAAAAGTTTTTTGCTGAGTTTTTTCGCATTTAATTGGATAAAAACAAACCGAACCGCCAAATAACCGCTAAATAAATAGTAAAAACCCAAAGACACAAAATGGCAATTGCCGAGCACGACAACGTCTTCATCTTTGTGCCAAATTTGATCGGTAAGTGTAGTGTTTTGATAAGGTAAACAAATCGCACGATCGATTTATGCGGCGCAGTTAGGTGTTCCATACCCTAATTGGATTTGGATTTCTAGGGGATGTTTGGCAACCTGTGAAATGCAGGGCGCAAGTTCACCGACAAGAGAAGCCGCCGCCCCCATTGAGTCATTCCCTCCCCACCCTCGAAATTCCCCACTTGGATACGGGGTACATTAAACATATGGACTGATATATTGACTCTTTTCCAGGCTATGCTCGCATCATTCTGGCCCTGATCGCGTTCTGGTTCATGTCCACCAACTATGTGATCTCCGGCTGGTGTTATGTAACCTCCGCCCTGCTGGACGCCGTCGATGGACACGCCGCCCGGGCCTTCAACCAAAGTGAGCACACTCACGATCCCCTCATATCATACCCCACTAGAAATCTAAATTAGCCATAGCTATATCTGTATCTGATATGTGCGCGCACTTTGACCGCCACACACCGCGAACACCTGTCTCCAGAATGGTTATCTTCCATCCGATATTAAGGCATTGAAGGCACGCCCAAAGGCCCCCCGATATGGTCACGGCTGGATAACCAATCGATGGATGACGTGGGGTCACAAATTAAACAGAAAGCAGGGCTAATATTGCCTTAGAACTATGGAATATGGCTAGAATATATATATAAGGAAGCCCTCTGAAAACAGATTATACTATTATTATTTTCAAAAAGACTTGATATCCATTGAACCATTCATGATATAAGAATTCAAAACATTTCTTATAGAGAATAATGCAAGTCATTATGATTTAGATGTTAAAAGAAACCCTTACTCATTAGGTTATTTAAAATCAGAACATTTTCTATAAACTTGAATGCCATAGCTATAGGATTATAGTAAAGGTTTGGAATACGCATTAGTTCCTTAATTTTTAGTGAGAGCTATAAACATATAGAATACTTAATACGTCATTATTAATTCACCTTATTTTCTTCACCACGCAGGCACTCGTTTTGGAGCCATGCTGGACCAGTTAACCGACCGCTGCGGAACCACCGGCCTCTTGGTCACTTTGGCCTACTTCTATCCTCGCTACATGTTCTGGTTCCAGCTGTCCATCGCCATCGATGTGGCCTGTCACTGGCTTTTCATGCAGACGTAAGATAAACTTTTTGTGTAAAATGTTGAGTTCTTCAAACTAATGACATAAATTTTCCCTTCCCAGGAGCGTTGTGGTTGGACGCAGCTCGCACAAGGTGAATGAGAACTTCATCATGCGCCTGTACTACCAGAAGGACATTCTCACCTTCATGTGCTGCGTCAACGAGCTGTTCTACGTGTGCTTGTACCTCTTGCATTTCACCTACGGCCCGCTGAGTGAGTATATACACTCATTGAATATCATTTGAGGACGGACAACTAATCTAATCGGTACTTCACAACCAATTGCAGTATTCGGCGCTTCGCTCTTCAAGATACTCGCCTTCCTCACGGGTCCCTTTGCCGTGCTGAAGGCCCTGATCTCGGTGATGCATGCCTACGTGGCGGGCATCGATCTGGCCGCCGTGGACGTGCGCGAGCGCCAGGAGAAGCGCCAGAAGTCGGAGCCGTTGGCCGGCAAGAAAGTGGAGTAAATCGGTTCCGGTCCAGAAGCTTCCAGCACCAAGTCTAACAACAAAAAAGTACTAAAGCGAAACAAACTCTTGATTCCAAGCAAAAAGAAAAGATGAAAAAACCAAATTTTGAAGGCGGAAAGCGATCAGAATAATTATGGGCATTAGGCAACCAAATAGGCCGTAGTAGAATTTAAATTATTTTTACGCGCTATTGCAAGATTGTTGATTTTATTTCTTATTTTAAGTTAGACGGGTGGCGAAACCACCCGACAATTTGTATTTAAAATGATATTTGAATTGAAATTGAAATTCAAGCGATTCGTTCCAGTCAGTAGCTGTTGCATATTTATTTTGCCTTTAGTTAAACGTAATTTACAATTTCTGTGACGCTTACACAACCAATATATATGTATATATTTATTTATATATTTTACATATATGCAGGCGGATATATGGGGATGAGTGTCTATTTCCAGGAGTTAACTCATTGTTTACGTTTTCGGTTCGGCTAACGACCTTCTCCCAGCAAATCTCTCAATGTAACTAATGTATTTCTAATCGTAAGTTAAAAGAATGTAATTGGAGACCTGCAAGAAATATACGAAACATGGATGTTAGATGTATTTGAAAGATATGATATACTCGTATATATACAAATGTAAATGCCAGGCCTGGCAGACTTAGTCAAAATTATTGATGAAAAGTAGGAATAAATATACGTGGTTTTATGTGCTAAATTTTGTTGTGCCCCTTTATCTTGTGAAATCCACTAATTTCTGGCCCAACGATTTGAAATTGGCGCCCCAAAAATTTATCGTTTCATTGCCAATCGTTTTGTGACGGTAGCCCTGGTTTGCCGCCCATCTGTGCTGCAGTGCAGCCCTGATTTTTACACAACATAAACATTCGGTCGGAGGAGAACTTTCCGGGACAATAAGAGCTCCGCCGGAGCTTCGCGACAGGACCGGGACACGGGAGATGCTCTGATAACGGGCGGATGTGGAGCAGCCAACGCCGGAATCGCCGCCATTGCCGCCATGAAGATCCTTTCCCGTCTGGGCCGCCTGATGCGGTACACCGTAGCCTATGCGGCCATCACACACTGCACCTTTGAGTACATCGGCGACTTTGTCCTGGTAAGTCATCTGAGATAATGTACCTCACCGGGTACAATGCCAGTTAGCCGGTTGCCGGTACCCACATACCTAGCACTATGTACTTTTTATAGCGGATAATATACCTGAGTACAATATGTTACCATCATATGGTCAGTCTTGCTAATCAGTTGTGTACCTACTTTGGGTACATCCACTTAATATCCATAACATGGTATGAGATCCAATAAGACTAGGTACTTTTAGCTTACAAAATTATAAAAATTGTATCTATCTTACAAAACACGCGATCATTTAAATGAAAAATCAGTAACTAACTGAAGTAACAGGTTAAATGTACCCGTAATCTTATCCAGGTACTTTTTATATATTTTTTAAAATGTTATATTTTGTGATCAGTTATTGGAATATATTTTATAATTTTATATAGTTATAATCTTTCTTTTCATATTCGCAAACCTTGTTACTTATCCAATTTCTTCACCAATCCCTTTCCAGTGCAAAGGACCCTCCATGGAGCCCACCCTCTACTCGGACAACGTACTGCTCACCGAGCGCCTGTCGAAACACTGGCGAACCTATCAACCGGGCGACATTGTGATCGCTGTTTCGCCCATCAACGCCGGCCAGTTCATATGCAAACGGATCGTGGCCGTGTCCGGTGACCAGGTGCTCACCCAGAAGCCGAGCCCCATTGAGGCGGAGTACAGCGGTCGTCAGGATAGCGCCGCCAGCAAGAAAAAGCCTGTGATGACCAAGGACTATGTGCCGCGCGGTTACGTTTGGATCGAGGGCGACAACAAGGGCAACAGCTCGGATTCGCGTTACTACGGACCCATTCCGGTGGGTCTAATCCGGAGCCGCGTGCTGTGCCGCATCTGGCCGATCTCCGAGGTCACCGGGCTCTAGACTGGCTACCCAATGAAGTTTTAAACCAATTGGACCCATTTAAATTGCCTTTTTTATAGGAAATTCTGGTTTGTTGATCCACTATTTTATAGGTCCATTTCGTATCAAGTTTTCGTCTCATTTGTGCGATATTTGGCTAGTGGATACGCGATACCTATGGATTAATTTAAAATAAACTAGAAAAACGTTTAAAAAACTGCCAAGAACATATTTATTCATACATTTATTTACACTTCCGAAAAAAGTCTTCATTGAATTTTGAAATATTCTTGAAATAATAAAATAAATAACTTTGTAAATTAAAAAATTTAGTTTGCTAAATAAACTGCTCATAAAAATTGTAGATAACAAATATAAAACATATATTCTTGTGATTATAAATCAAAACTACATTTTAAATCATTGGATTTTCTCATCTTTTTGGCCGTTTTTCGAAATTTATATATACATATTTGCATAACCTTTAAACATTTATATTTTTTTATTTGTTTTCAGTTGATAGTCTGCAATTCTGCCCGAAAACCATCGATTTTCGTTTAAAATGGTTTAAAACAAAAAGACTAAATAAAAGTCAACTTAATCTTAAGGTTTAAAAATTTTAATAATTTGTAATTTTGTTTCATAGCAGTCTGAGAGTTACATAGATTTTTAAAGCTATGTATATAAATTTTGGTTATATATTTTTTGGAAATCTATAAATATTTTATTGTCAGCTTGACAGCAATTCCCGAATTTGGTCAGGTTTTTAAAACGACTGGTTTTGTACTATTCAAGAAACTTGTAATTACAAGTTTCACGATATAAATCTTTTCTTTTCTTTATAAAATATGTATATTTAAATTTTGTTTAATTTATTGGCTTACCTTCTAAAAAAAAGTTCTACCATATTTTGTGCGCTATTTTCGAAATAGTAAGAAACTCGTTTTGATTACAAAGATCATTACATTACTGGAAGGGTATCCAAAGAAAAAGTGATGTGAGGTCGTGTGATATTGTAAATACATATATAAAAAAAATAGCTTTTATTTAACTACATTATGAACATTTCAATGTGCACTTGTGCAGCTGCCGTGTTGGTGAAAAGAAACTTAATTGAAATTGCACTAAGGATTTTGCCACTGGACCGTCAAGTCTCACGAGTTCTCTTGATCATTCTGCTGCTGCTGCTGCTGCTCCCGCTCCACGTAATACAGGCTGTACTTCTTCTTGAGCACCTGGTGGACATCGTCGCGACAGGTGATGGTCAGGCCGCGCTTCTCGTAGTCCAGAAACGTGGTGACGAACTGCCGGTTCGTCTGGTGCACCTGCGGATGCTCCAGATACTCCGCGATGGGCATCCACTGGAGTCGCGCAATCTCCCGTTCGCACCGCTTGAAATCCAAATTTAGGGGCTTCAGCGCAATGACCACATAGAGATCGGAGCAGCCGAAGGTGCCGCCGTGCGCATGTCGCAGACTGACCACCGACCGGAACTCGGTCCGGATTCCCGTCTCCTCGTCCACCTCCCGGATCGCCGCATCGATGAGATTCTCCCGCGGCTCCACATAGCCGCCGGGCAGCTTCCAGCTGTTGGGTATCATCGCATACCGATCGGACACCACCAGAACCTCGTTATTTTCGTTGATCACCAGCCCGCCGACGCCCATCAGCGTGTGCGCGAAGTTGGGCAGGTTGTTGGACTCGTTCTCCGGCAGCCAGCGGTACATGGTCACCACGCCAGTTCGTGCATGATGGAAGTCGAAGCCGTTCTCCGCCAGAACGGGCACCCAGTCGGCCTGCTCTTGGTACACACGGAACCAAATCGCCCGGTTCTTATTCGTTGTCCAAAAGTCAAGGGATTCTGGAAGTCAAGATCAAAATGGGTAGGTAAGTTAAAATTAAACATTATTTTTGGCTAGGGGTCAGATTTTAATCTTAAGTTCACTATATATAAATAAATAAATATCCCTTTTGTATTAGTTTATTTAACTTTTTGAAAGGTAATATCAATAAAAAAAATTTACAATTGGTTGACATTCAATCTATTTAAATTGGAAAACTCAGATTATAATTTTGGATTGATAAGCTTTTAATTAATTTTTGATAACATTAAAGTTTACGAGTCAATAGAAATATGGTAGAAAGTCGTTTGTAAGTTACTAGTGTTTATTAACAAACATATATGAAGAGGTATTTATTTTTTATAGGTGTTGCTTTTAAGATTATTAAAAACCTTTTCCTAAACAAGGTCTTTTAAAATATATTAATTTTTTAACTTTTTAGGAAACTTACTCTTTAGTTTGTCCTGGAAGCTGCCTTTGTCCACCTTCTCCTCGCGACCATCAACTGTGACTCCGGCAAAGCGGTCCGTAATGCCGCGGAACACATCCGCAGGGGTATCCATGGCTTTGGAGCTTTATTATACACAATGTATCTTATCAAAACAGGTATTTAACTAGGCTATATGGTATATATATTACTTACGCGGTGTAGGCTCGGGTAAATTGTGGCTGTGGAACCTCCTTTAGTGGGATTTTGGGGGCTACCGTGGATGATGGGCGGTGTCTATCGATGCGGAGACGCGAACGCCATGTATTGAACGCCGGCAGGTTTAGAACGTTTCTGCGAGCCAGAAGACTTGTGGCCAACATTAAATAACCTCGCAGTTCGACGGAAACGACGACGTTGATGACGACGGCGGCCGACCACGTTGGCGTCACTAGCTCGAAACCGGAGATCTCGGGGCCCCGGAGTGGGCGTGGCGGCGGTTATGACGGCTCAGTGGCTCAGTATTTCCAGAATTCGAGCCGAAGAAAATCCCTGGGCATGCTGTGTGTGTGTATGAAACGAGGCAGAATGGGCAGGTGAAAAAGCCGCATGGCTCCAAACATCGATGCAAATCCGATGGGCAGCAAAGCAAGGCGGAGGAGCAGGTTAGCCACTATCTCTCGCCGGCGCAAGATAAGCGATATGGTATATGGTCCGTGTTACGTTCGGTTTTCTGTTCTTGACATTTCGAATTTGGCGCTAACGTCAGTATCAAATACAGGCAATAGTGCTGAGCAAAGAGAAATATATAACAATCGAAGTAACTTCATTTACTTTTTTTAAAATCCCATATAATAGATATAGTCAGGTTCACCATTTGGTACAGCATTTTAAAAAAGTTTAAAGAATTATTAAATCAACGATATTAAATACTAAACATTCAAATATATAAATAAATAATATAAAATATATTCATATTAATACAATTTAGAAATGGGACACTATTAGTTCAAGTGATCTTTCTGAATTATGAATATAAAAAAAAAATAAAGAGATAACAGTTTTAAACTGTAACTTTATAGGGTCGAAAGCTTTTTGTTTATAGAGTCAAATGGTCTTTCAGATAAATGAATATTAATAAATGCAAAATTTGAATGGGGATTAATAGTGAACAGATTTAAAATGTAACTTCCTAGGGTTTAAAGCATTTAGTTTAAAGAGTTCTTATGACTATAAAAATATGTACGCGTGACCTGATATGGCCATAATACACTTGCTTGAATTTCTACTATACGACTGGATTTATTTTAAAAATGCATATCATGCTATAGCATATCCAGGTTGCCATGAATTCTTGAATAACTCCAGTCAGTTGGTCGTGATTTTAGCCAGTGTCATATGGCCATTGGTAAAACTGTTACTTGTCACAGTCACAGCTACAGTCACTTAAGTCACTTTTGGCTGCTCATCCCTAGCGCAACCTTGAGCGTCAATCCAAGGTGCGTGTGGGTGGCGGGTGGTGGGCGGTGGGGTCGTTTCAATTGTTTCCGCATGGGCTTTGTGTATGTTTATCAGCTGAGTGGAGAGGCTGCTGCTGTTATCAACGCGCCAGACAATTATTATATGCGTTTTACATAACAAACAACGGCAAACATCGAACTATTTTCGGTTTTTCTATACCATCCCATGTTGGAATATAACTTGGTTGCAACTCACAGAGGAACCCACTGGTTAATAGTGTCGCCGTGCTAATCCGTCCAGTTCCAGACGATTAATTGAGCGATCCAGCCATGGACTTTGACATGAAAACAAGTGAATGGAGCAGCAGCGCGCGATTTCAATTCTCTTCCACTTCCAACAGCACGTTAATTTCTAGGGATGGGACACAAAGCTCAGTCAGCTGTTTTGCCAGTGCTGGCAGCTCAGCCTTTTCGCGGCACCAAAAGCTGGTTTAGCTTTTTCTAGCCAATACTCAAATCACTTTTAGAAAATGTTGTTGTCAATTTTTTAGATTTTGAATGCAAATTGTTTGGGCATATACTCTACAGTTGGAATTTCCTCGAATTTTTGTTATTAACTAAAATGTTGAAAATTCATGCCTATTTCAGCAATCTCATTTTTAATATGCTTCATTTAGGTAGTTTGGTTTGAAAATATAAAATATTTTTTGTAACTGTCAAACTATTAGTAATTTGTATAAAACAGATGATAAGCACCCGTCTAGAATTCGAAAAACAGCAAATTGAAGAGTTAAAAAAACCTAACATCAATTTCAGAAAATTCATTGTTCTCAAAAAAAAACCATAATTTGTTTTTGAACCAATTATAATTTGTGTATGCTACTGGAGGCGCACTTTATTTGATTTTGAAATGTCCATATGATAATAATATGTACAATAAACGAAATTGCCTGTTTCTTGTTCTGTGGGTTTTGGAAAGACCTAGTAAAGGACCTGGTGTTCGTTTGGATTGTCGTTGCTCGACCTGGGATCTGGTGTACCAGGACGCGATTCGTCCTCGCTGGACCCCATGTGCTCGCGACCACGACCCCTACGCGGCTTGGGCTTGTCCTTACAGCAATCGCAGCCTCCCAAGGACAACCAACAGTTGTTCAGGGCATCCCGGGCAGAAATGCGTTGGTGCGGATCCGTGTCCAACATGGGTCTGATGAAGCAGACAAAGTGTCGGGCCTCGTGGCGCGGCCAGCCGTACTGGTTCACCAGGGTACTGGTCAGTTTGCGGGTCTTCAAGTGTTTGATGTGCCGAAGCTGGCCATTAGACTTGAAGATCTCCGACGAGTATTCGCCACTCTCGACCACGCTACGGGGAAGGGCTCCACAAGTCTCGATAATGGCGGCAATGTGGGTCTCATCCAGGCTGGCCCGTCCGCGAGGCTTCTTGAGTGTAAACAGATAATCGCCGGTGACCATTTCCCAGAACAAGCAGGCAGCACTCCAAATGTCCGCGGTCTCGCTGTAGCCGGCCCCAAGGATCACCTCCACGGCCCTGTACTCTCGGGTCTGTATGTCGTCGGCGAAGTGGTGATGGAACCAACAGCCATTGCCCATGTCGGCAATCTTCACATTCACCTCACAGAACTCGGTGGCCGGGTCCTTGCCCTGAAGGTAAGCCAACAAATTGGCCTCCCTTTTCCGCTTCATGTAGGCCTCGTTCTTAGCCTGCGTGAAAAATGATTAATATTGTTTAAAAATTAAATATATGAAGTGGGGAAGTATCAATAAGTAAATGTCGGCATTATCCGATATTTTTAACATCCAGTTTTCAGTGATATATGATTTATTAAATTTAATTTTATAAAAAAAGTAAAATTGGAAACTTGATACCAAGAAAAATACCATATTTAAATTGAAATATTTAAAGGATTTTGCAGAAAGGAAGTAACTAAATCAAAATTCTGGGAACAAGATATTATTTTATATTGTTTTAGGGAATCTAAAATAAGATAACTTCTTAAGAGGTCGTCTTAAAATATTTTACATAATATTTTCAAAGCGGAAATCATAAGAATTAATAAAATTTCAAAACAACTTCGGTGTTTGGTTTGGAGAGATGAAAATCCATTTCGGGATTGTCATATAAGATATAAAGTATATCAATTAAGCACCGAAATGGATTTCTAATTTGATATTTCTTTGAAAGCTTGGCTCACCGGATTCGGTACTACCGATCCTGTTTTTTTCCTTCGCCTTTGATGGCTAGTTGAGCCCCGCCTGACGCTGCGCCTAGTAGGCTGATGATGGGGAGACTGTGCGCGATCCGAAGCCATGGCTTTCTTTAGGGCATACTGCATAAAATTCTTCGGGCTGTGGATCAGAAGGCCCACGGGGTCAACGCATTCCTCCGGCTCCTCGTCGTAACTGCCGACCACTTCACTATCGCTATCTTCCTCTCTGTCTTCTCTGCGGCGTGCGCGGGAACGCCTATCGACATTACGAACGCCATTAGGTCCACCATTGGGGTCGCGGTTAGGAGGCTCCGCTGGCATATCGCCCACCCGTTCAACGATGGGGATATTCTCTATATACTCCACCTGGTGTTCGTCAAGGATCTGCAGCCCGTCGAAGTTAAAGGGCATGAAGGTCAGCTTGCCAGTGACGCCCATGGCAGCGGTGTCACGCGAAAGTTGGCCCTGTTTGGCCAGGGACAGAAGATCATCGATGGCCTCGAGGCGGAGCCAACGGCGATGGCCATGGAAGAAGGTAACCAGCCTCTTGACCCGCGCCCGCTGCTTCCTCTTGGCCGTCTTGGTCAGCTTGATGCAGTCCGGATTGCGACAGCGATTCCTCTCCCGGTCACTCAGGCTGCCGCGTGCAGAGCCATGTCTGTGGAAGGATAAATATCATAATGAGATCTTTATAAAAGAATCTTAAAGCTACGTATACGAGTATGCTAAATATGCTGGTCAAAGAAAAAATTTCGCAAGCTACTCAAAACGGTCGGTCTTTGAGCTGTACGCCTTGATTTGGCTGAACTACCAATCTAAAACCGCATTTTTAAATCTGGACCCTATTTTTTCGCCCTAAAAATTCAGTTTTTTGGCTGCCAAAATAAAAATAAAAGTCAGAATGAGGAATTGCATACTTCGTTGAACTCGTTGCTTAATTTCCAATCGATTGGCATTCAAACCTGGAAATTTTTAATTTTTGCCAATTTTCACAAAAAAAAATGTGAAAATTGGTCAAAAAATAAATTTTCCTTAAAGGGATACATTACATTATAATTTATCAATATCGATATCAACATCAATATACTAAAAAAAACATTTTATATGTATCATCACATGGCATCAATATCAATCTTTTCAGAAAATCATTAAAAATACAATTATATAAAGAGTACCATTTTTGATGTAGGTATATGTATCGTATCAAAACGATATCAAGAACAGATACATCTACATATATTTTCAGAAAATTATTAATATAATACTAGAGAATACCATTTTGTAATCAATCATTTTGATATCGCAAAACAAAAATATCTTACTAATAATATTTATATAGGATCATAATCATATGCGGAATTTCTCAACTTGGGAGAGGTTGTTTTCAATGCTTGTTTGACTTACCCAGATTTCCTAAGCTTAGACTGGGCCTTCAGAAATCTATTGATGGTCTGGTTGACCTGTCCCCGGACGGCCGCATCGCTGTTCACCACGAGCACGTTCTCCGGCTTCAAATCGGTGTGGATTATGTGGCACTTGTTGTGCAAAAAGTACAGGCCCTCGAGGACCTGCTTGGCTATTTGCTTCACATTTTTTATGGGCAGACCACTGAAGCGAGACTTCTGGATCAGGGTGAATAGATTGTCACCGAGCACTTCGAACACCAGGCAGAGATGGGTGCAATGCGATACGGTCATGTAAAAATGATCAATGAACTCTACGATGCGCTTTCTCAGCGGATGGCCTTCGAACTCGTCCATGGCGCACAGTAGACGGATCTCGTCGCGAGCGGTTTCCATGTAGGTTTCCGCCGATTTGACCACCTTGACAGCACAGTAGCGCTCCGCGGTGCAGTCGAAGCACAGCCAGACGGTGGAAAAGTGGCCCGAGCCCAGTTTCTTTATAGCATGATAGCGATTGTTTAGGATATCACCGATGGTCACCGGATCCGGATCTTTGTCGGGCGGAGTACACTCGCTTGCTGAGATCCTCTCCGATTCGCCGGAGGGTCGCTCATTCACATCGGCCGGCATTCTGGCCGTCTGATCTCCATCCGATCCATCTTCAGAGCTCTGGTAAGTATATCTGATCTTCTTTCCCCTGTCTTCATGAGGTGGGGCATTGTACTCGTTTGTCTTCATTTTGGAATCGTCCGAATCGGATCTATCGGTGTCCATGTTTTATATGTGGTATGTTACTCTACTAGAAGCTCTAAATTTCCAGCGTAGCTTAAAGTTAACAAATTAATTCGTAGTAGAATTCATCAAATGGTTTAGTGATAGAAAAGAGATATAGAATAGTGCGCCACGCAACAGTACCAGTACAAGTATTATCAATGTAACAATTTGTGATATGGCGGACTAGGAAATATTAACCGATTGATCAATAATGCAGTTTTTTCTTCCAATTCACAACTAACTTGTATGATAAGCTTTAGCGAAGCAGTGTCTTGAGTTGCATCCTATTAAATAAAAGGATTGCCATTATATTATTAGATGACCTTTAAGGAGGAGTTGCCGAGTTTAAACCTACAAAATGTTCGACGAAAGTAATCCAAGATGGGGGGAACTTTTGTCACATGTCTGAAAAACGTTTGTTTTACTATTATATGACCTTAAAACGACGAAGTTCTAACCGAAAAGAATAAAATCTTTCAATGAAAATGTGTCTTTGGTTGGATATTGAACAAGATGGGAACTCACATATGTACTTCCTCCTCGATTCTTAAACGGTTTCTTAAGACGTCCCCTGGATGAGGTCTGCTGTCGTTGGTGTAAAAAAATATAAAGTTAGCTAAACCGCTTTCCTTTCTACATATAGTAAAAACAGCACTTTTTGATGCCTTTTAAAATATGTTTGATTTTTTTCACACAATTTTTTGAGTTGTTTTCTTAATGACGACAAAATGTAGACTAACTGAAGGAACCTTACACATTCCGTAAATCAAAAATGCCAATGACTTTTTTGGCAGAGCCTACATTTGTAGGTATGATAAATTAAACTCGTACCTACATTTCTAGACGGTTCCTAAACAGTTTCCTAGGTTATCCTCTAGATGAGGTCTTGCGCCGTTGTAAAAAAAGATATTAAGTTAGCAAATTTTTTTAAATTATATGTTTGCTTTTTTTTTTAATTTTTAAGAGCTGTTTGCATGTTACTGACTAAATAGATACTGACTGTTTTCCAACTCCAAGAATCACATATGCCAATGGCGTTTTAAACAGAAGGCAACTTTAATTGAAGTCAAATTGGTTAGCCTATTATAATTAGTCCAAACAGTAACTATATATGTATAAAAATCTTCAAGTATTCCAAAAAAACTTTTTAATTTGTATCACATGTCTGAAAAACGTTTGTTTTACTATTATATGACCTTAAAACGACGAAGTTCTAACCGAAAAGAATAAAATCTTTCAATGAAAATGTGTCTTTGGTTGGATATTGAACAAGATGGGAACTCACATATGTACTTCCTCCTCGATTCTTAAACGGTTTCTTAAGACGTCCCCTGGATGAGGTCTGCTGTCGTTGGTGTAAAAAAATATAAAGTTAGCTAAACCGCTTTCTTTTCTACATATAGTAAAAACAGCACTTTTTGATGCCTTTTAAAATATGTTTGATTTTTTTCACACAATTTTTTGAGTTGTTTTCTTAATGACGACAAAATGTAGACTAACTGAAGGAACCTTACCCATTCCGTAAATCAAAAATGCCAATGACTTTTTTGGCAGAGCCTACATTTGTAGGTATGGTAAATAAAACTCGTACTTACATTTCTAGACGGTTCCTAAACAGTTTCCTAGGTTATCCTCTAGATGAGGTCGTCTTGCGCCGTTGTAAAAAAAGATATAAAGTTACCTAAAACGAGTTTTTAGTACAAATTTTAAAATAAAAAAAACCATAATTTAGATCAGATCCCTAAAGCATTCTTTTACTATATTGTCCAGTTGCGAGTTTCGACAATTAAACATAATTCGTTGTGCCCATTTCTGTTCTTTTTTTTTCTAAATCGAAATAGTTGTGCAATTGAGGGCGAATCCTTTGTGCTGATCCAGTGATTCGGAAAAGGCTATTTAGAGCAACAAAGCTCCAGTAACCAGTAACCAGGAACCAGTTACCAGTTTACAGGGCGATTGAAGGGATTATAAAGGATCGTAAATCTGTTGCAAAATGCACATTGGCGAGAGTCAGCATGGGGGATGTCCTTGTTCCATATACTCAGGTGCTTCAGTTGGACAACAATAGCTCCCATTGAGTCCTATAATGTTTGTATTTTGATTGCCGAGGCTTAGAAATTTTTTGTTCACAATTTCTTTTTTCCATTTTGGGGGAGAAATTCCCAAAAAAAAAAAAAAAAGTTGCCGAAAAATAAAAAGTTACCCTTCTTTAGCGGGCGAGCCAGAGCCGATATTTGCTCAGTTGTTTAAACAAATTTTCCGCTTAGGGTTGGATGGGCGACCTCCTGTTTGCCAACAATGGATTTCCATGCGCTGGCTTAAGTGAAAATGCCATGTCAAATATTTATTAAAAAATCTATGGCTGGTTGGGGACACATCATATATATATATATTTTCCACCGCCGGCTTATCGAAGTCTTCAAACTTCGAACTCGATGGAAAATCGGGGTTTTCAGGTTCCCAGGTTCAACCCTTTCTTATTTCTCTGTGTTTTTTTTGCGCGCACCCGGAAAATTCTTGTTTGTAATTAGGGAGTTTTCCTTATCATTTTCCCAATGCCCCTCGGCATTCGACATTGTTTCTCCGCCAATTAAGCGTAATTTCAAGTGTCCCGTTCGTGTATTTGTTCAAAAACAATTTGAAAACCCAAAGAAAGGGCATCGTGGCGTTTTGAATTTCACTTTCATAACTGGTTGGCTTCCTAATGAACTGTTTATATGCAGACAATGGTTGAAAATTGAAATAAATTAATGTCGTTTTTTCCCTTTTTAAGTCGGTGGGAGTGCCTTCGGCAGCTGAAGGCATCAAGGTTTTTTATTCGTGTGTAAGCTTTTCAGTTGAGGGAATGAGCAATGGATAAGTCTACTTTTTTGGAGGATTGATAAGCGGAAAATTAACCATTATTAGGCCATTTTCACACCCCTTTAGCCAGCCCATTTTCATGTAAACTTTGCACTTTTCGAACATCAAGAAGGGGAGAACTTTAAATTTAAAAAAAGCATTCTTTACTTAGCTTACATTTTGTATATATGTTATTAGAGGAACATTGAAAAGGGTATTCCAACTTTTTTTAGCTTAATATATATATGCCTCTCGTTAATCCCAAAAAAATATGTATGAAATTATTTTTAAAAATTAAAAAGCAGACTGCTAAGGTATCTTTTCCATTACAGCATCTTTCAAAAAGGTCAGGAATAGTGTGTGCTTACTGAAGTGAACCTAAATATCTTACAAGTAATAAAAATTCGCTGTGGGACAGTAAGTAGATGGCCGCGGGGTTGTTTTCTTAATTAATTTCCCGTGTTTTTCCATGGGCTTGAAAGGGCCATTCCTTAATTGCCAGCAGCATCCGAGGGGTCGAAGGGTCAGAGGGTCAAACGTGGCCCGCGGATGCTGCGCAAGGGTTACGCAAACGCCCTAATCCAATTACCACGATTGACCGCGTAGTCGCGCGTAATATTGAACTTTTTAAAAATATGTTTCAGTAAAAATGGAAATCGCATTATAATTTTTAAAAATGCCTTGGGCCATTTGAAAAAACTAGAATTTTTTTTATTTTGTAATGATTTACTAAATTTTTGTTATTTTCTTTAGGACGAGGATTGTTGGATTGCCTTATTTTTGTGTGTTTAAGGATGGGATTATTTTAGACGTGAACGAATTTAATATTTAAATATTTTTGGACATACAAGAAATTACATTTTTGGACAATAGATTGATAATAATTACATATTTATGGTATTTTGCTATTATATGCAATCTTGATTTATTTAAATGCTGTTCGCATAATGTGTGTAGAGATCAAGTTCTTTATGATCGATGGTCGTAGGTCCTGCGTCTCGTCTTTCTTGCGGGGAATCACAAACAGATGGAGTCGCAGACAGCTGTCCTTTGGGTGTTGCCTCCGTCGGAGATTTTTCACTTTTCCATTGTTGCAACGCTTCCTTTTTGTCAATGTGCAGTTACGTATTATATTATTGCCGACTTGTCCCCGTTTTTTTTCTCCTCAACTTCTTTCCTCCAGTCCCCCGAATTCCCATTCTTTGGATTTAGATTTTTTTCGCCAGAGTGTGGCATGTGCCGCTCCATTGTGTGCCAATTGGCAGAGCAGCTGCTCCTCTCCTTTTGTTTGTCCTTCGAGTCCTTGTCGAAATCCAGCAAAATGCGCCAATTACGTTGCTCATTATCCTTGAACTTGGAGAAGGAATGGGAACTAGAGCAAGATCATCTCAGCTGCTGGGCTTTCTCTATTTTGAGCTTCGCTTTGACTTTGGGGGAAAACAGAAGTCCTTTTCTATTGTAACATCCCTAGAAAATGTAAAAATTATCCTAATTAGATTATTGTATAGGTATTGTTGTAAAAACACAATTAGCATTCATTAAAAAAAATTAAATAACAGAATATTTAAAGTCTACTTTATAAACACTTACAATTAAATAATTTGACTTTAATCTTATACTATTTTTAGTTCGGATTTGTTATGTATAATACTTCAATTTGCTCTTAATGTTGTTTATATAATGTCAAACTATTACGTTAATCATTATCTTTGAACTTGGATAAGGAATGTTTTTATATTCGCTATTGTAACATCCTTCAAAGAAAGTAATATTAAAATAATCCGATAAATTTATAGTAACAAACAGGATTTGATTTCATATTTAAAGTAATATATTACGTATAATTAGTTAATGTTTGTTTACCATCTTTAGTTTAGAGTTGATTTTGAGTGATATATATAATGTTTATCTATACAGCTGATTGAGTATATATGAAATAGTATAATACAAATCACAGTGGTAAGGGATTATCCTTTGTGATGATTGTCAATTGCTACACATATCTACCGGGTTCATTAAAAAATGCAACCGTCAAATGCCGCTTTCATCCTGAGTATTGTATCGTTGTGGGAATCTGGTGGGCTGGTTTTCATTGGGATTCGCTGGGATCATTCATCACGCCAGTCGGCTGCAGGATATGCCGCAGGATATGACGCTGCATAAACTGTCCAGCGATCGGCGATCGTTACACAAACCGCATCCTGCGCAGATCCTGCCGAACAAAACGCCATTGTCCTGCCGCCCCATTCCGATGCTCTGGAAAACGCATCGAATCCGAATCCCGGCCAGGATGTGCAGCTGTCCGGCGGGAAGTCACAGTGTCATTCAGAGAACCGCAAAAGTTCGCGCCCATGTCGCGGCCGCTGTAATCCTTTAACTGTCACAAAGCCAAAACAAACAACGCCGGCGGTCCGGTGAACCGAGTGACCTCTTCATTACACGGCGACAATCTTGGCGGGTCACCGTGATTTAAAATAAGGGGCGGTTCAGCGGGTCGGAAAATTATGCAACACGCCGTCGGCCGGATTAGCGTTCCATCCCGATTCCAATTCCGATTCCTGATTTCCGATCCGCAATTCCCAAGGCGACCGAACTGACCCCTGCGCTTGTTTTTATTGCCTTGTGTCGGACAATTGATTATGTGACATACATTTGGTATAAACAGCTTTGGTCAGCTTTGCTACCTGGAACGGAAAAATAGAGTTGTCAATGGCGAAGGACATAAATCAGTGCCCTGAAGCTGAGGATTTTACAATGGTTCGGTGATATATGGCCCACATATAATGGTAATCCATAATAATTACATTCATGTGTGTGTTTACAGAGTGTTCGAGTACTTTGGCTCAGTTCAAGATTTGTAACAAAAGCTCTATAACGATTTAGTCTTATCAATAGGGGCAATTTAAATTGATTTCCTTTCAGTATGATACAGTTCAAAATAGTTTGCTACAGGGAAGTGAGTAAATTCGCTATTGTTTGTTGACTTCTTAGGGAATACTAACATTCCGTCCGTAGGGTCATATTTATTTGTATCTTTTATATAAAATGCTTTTGTAGAGTCGATAAAATGGATTAACGATCTAATTTATTATGGTCTTTAAAGATTCCTTTTAAAATAAACGTTTTTGAAAATTACTCATAAAAGGAATTACAATTATTAAGACTTATGAAACTTATATGCTTTTATCAGGGATTTAAAGTTTACATGCAGAGAAAAATACATTTTTTTAAATCACCTCTAAGAACTAACATTAAGCTTTATAATTTTATAATATACTCTGATTACAAATCAGTTAAATCACCATATTTTGACCGTTATTTTGAGCAGTTCTTGAATCTCAACCTCTTTTGGTATATCTCCCCTGGCAACCAGACAGTAAAAACTTTCGTAATTATGCAAGGTCCTGGCTTTTCGACTTCCTGACCAAAAAAACATGCCACAAATGCATTAGAACGCGCTCGATATGCAAACATATAATTGAAAACTGTCAACGTCTGACAAATTTCCCGTCGTAAAACCCGCGGGTAACCCTAAATTAACCCCACACAAAGTCAAGGGCATTACACCAAAACACGAAAATATGGAAGAGGCGAACCGGGGGCGGGACGAAGCCATTTCCAGAAGTCATAAAGTTGTGATCGACAGCCAGCAGGTCCTTGATCCTTGGGCCGTGTTAATGTGTTAGGCGCGTGGGTTGTCCTGATCGAGGGTGGGTTGCTCCTGGTCCTGCTCCTGGTCGGTGGCTTGCAATTTGCCGATATGATCTCTGGCTCGGTGTAGTTTTGACAGTTTATCATTATGCCGGCGTGATCCTTGACCCTCATGGGCGGCGATTGTGGTGGTGGTGGGTCATCCGGTCGCTGGTCATTACATTGTAAACATTTTGCGTTTTGTATTTAATTGATTTTCTGCACCGAGCCAACTTGCCAAGTTCCGTCATTAGCCGGGGGTTTCAGGTCCAGATAAGTTGCCTGCGATAGCAGCGGTATGATTAATGCATCTGTATAAGGAAAATAAAAATAGCCTTAAACTTAGATATTTATTTTAATTATGCGTTAATATTAATGTCTTATATGCATACATTCTTTATAACGATCATCTAAGTTTATTATTCTTTAAATCCCTTAAAATCATTATGAATAGAGACTTTCATATATGTTCTTATATGCATTTCATTGATTTTAGACTAAAGAAATTATTATTATTCTTTTAAAACCCTAAAACCCAATATCTATAAGTAATATTAAAACCTAAGTAGTGACTTTACTATAAGTTCTTAAATATTTACTTTAAATATGTTTTATTATTTATGTCCTATATGCATACATTCTTTATATGGACCATCTGATTTTATTTTGCCCTCTGAATTTGGCTCTTTCTCACGTCTTCCTTTTCAGATCCTTTGTGTTTTTCCTTATCGCTGAACACGGCGCGCCAAAAAATTCGCACACTCTCCTCAGATTTATTATTTGGCAAACATGCACACACATAAATCTCAATCTGTCTGAAAATGTGAAATCGAAAATGAAATCATTGTGCCAAAATCAAAATTTAACCGCAAATTAGGCAATAAACAATGGCTAAAGCGGTCATGGGTTAATACGTTTAGCATCAGCAGACAACCGCCGGGGTCACAACCACCTCGATCGAAAGGGTTAAGCGAGGGGTTAAGGGTTGCGGCGATATCGAAATCACGATTTTAAACGTGCGAAAAAATATATATATGATGTGATCTCTGTTTGTGCTCCAGTTCTGCCTGCTGGTGTGCAAAAGTGCCCCTTTCATTATCGCTAAATAAGTTCAACCATTAAAGAACAGTATTTCAAAATGTTACGGATGCGATGTGCGCCATTTTATGCCTTCAGAAATTCTAAAACCTACGCAGATAAATACAAATTAAAAATATTTCGAAAATAATCGTTTTATTTAGCTTGTAAGCAGTGTATTTGTCATATTGTTTTGTAAAAATAGTGTATAGGTGTAGTCAAAAGACGGTGTGGTATAAGTCAGTATTAGTCAGAATCAGAATCTGAGTAGTACTCGTCCGTTTCATAATTATCAACTTCAACTAGAAGCGACTCATCCAAGTCGCTATCGGTATCGCTTCCGTAGTCGACTTCGTCATGTTCGTCGGCCCAAGGATCCTCGGGGTTTGGTTCAGGCATGGAATTTCCACCGAAGATTGCGTACACAACTATTGAATGGAAATTATCTAGTATTATCTAGTGCTAGTATTATATATTACTGATCTTTGCGACTTACCGGGAAAAGTACCCATGGTTTTCAGTTTCAATCGGTGCTTTTTGATATTGAATCGCAAAAGGGATAGATATTCCGCGAAGGTTTTCGAGTTTCTGAAATGAAAATGGAGAAATTTCAATAATAACATGGGTTCATAAAAGTATAAATTTCTAGAACTTATAAATATCATTAATTTTTGGTAACAATTTGTTAAGAACATAGAGTTCTGTGGTAAGACCGACAAAGCGATCCAGTTTTTAGCTAAATAAACATATAGCGGGTCGATCCACCTTCGCACGCCATATGGAGTTAGGTACTTAGGTCCTTGACAGAGGGTCGGTAATTTACCATAATTGCGTTTGGGTCACAATTAGCAACGCCTGGACATGGTTCACTGGAATGCTCGCAGGACTTCGACGAAGAAGAGGAGTACGGCAAGAAGACCCCGAAGGAAAATAGGAAAAATCCCGCCAGTGCCGCGGGCTAATCAATTACGCAGCCTTTAAGAAAACGTCGCCGGGCTGGGTTTCTTTTTTTTTTCTCTTCGCCCGATAACTTTAACATTTTATTCACATTTAATTGCTGGCCATGCATTTAATTTCGGAACCTGATCGCGTCGCTGTCAAACGTTTGACAAACTTCCCGGGGTGACATGTGATGTGAGGATGGGACTCCGACATATCCCGGGGACCCCGAATCACCGAATTCCGACCCATTCCCATTACGGAATCTACATAATTTGCATTTTAACCCTTTTCTTTGTCTAATGATGCAAGTCGCGACATTCTTCGCCGCCTTGCGGTTAGATTGCCGTCTCGCTCGCACAACTTTTCACGACGCTCACTTCGTCTCACTCTCGCAACCTTCGCAGGCACTAGCGCCATCTCACTCGCATATTCACGCCGCGCCGCAGATTTATGGAGAAGCGCTACGGTTTTTTGGGTCGCTTTTCCCGGAAATTAATTGCATTTTCCCGGATTTCGCCGCGTATTATTCGGGTAATTTGCTTTACAATTAAATATGCAAATGCGAGCGTTAAACGTTTACTCTTTAAGGCGTTTGTTGTTGCCATTAGGGCGCGAGAAACAAATATGGGCGCACCAAGAAATTCCTACCAAAAATCGCGTTTATACCAAGAAAAAATCTGAGAAAACTTATTTAAATTTTTTAATATTTTTCACTGACACCTACTCAAAAAAAAGGCACTTGGAGCTAGAAAAATTCGATCTGCTTCGAACGGCTGCCGAACTGTAAAGAAATATTTTGTAGGAAGGCTTTTAACACGAACACCAAAAAAGACATCACTACACGGACTGACTTATTAAGCCTGAAAATATGGTCTCCCAATATAGTATTAATAAATTGGCCACCTGCTAGGGGGCTCTACACGTTCAGAATCACATTTATTTTATAAAAAGCGAATGTAGTGATCTGGATTGAAAATCAAAAAAAATATACAAGTAAAAAGCTAATCGTACTCAAGCTCAAATCACTGTTTTAAAAAATTACGCTATTCAAATGGATTTGATAACAATATCTGAAAAACTCGGCAATGCTGTAATTATATTGTATTCGATTAATGAAGTAACTGCGTGTAACGCAGCAAAGATGGTTGCGTGAGTGAAAATATGGTGTTTTACAATACTACCCGGTGTTTGACAACGTGGATTTGCAAATCGAATGGCTGACACTTGACTTCCTTTTCCGAACCAGCGGCGCTTGCGCAAAGACTCGTCCCGAAGAGAGCTTGCGATAATATCTGAAAAACATGGAATATCAAGGTTTTAACCCAAAAGTAATTACTTAACAATTAGTTTTAAAGGGAAAAGGTAGCAAACAAGGTGATTTAATTTCAGGGAATCTATTACATTCAGCTTAATCCGAACGGATTGGTGTCCGCGAATGGGAATGCACAATACCAGCCATCCGGAGCCGGTAATCCGCAACCGGTGTATGGCAATTCGAACTCTCCATCACTCCCCCCTTGCCCGTATCCAGGGCACAGCGCTTCGTACTCTCCACCAAGTCCCCGTCAACCGCAGCCGGGGTATACCAATTCGTATTTGCCACCAAGCAACCAGTCGAACACCATAGCGAATACCGCACCGAATACCGCACCGAGTTATCAGCTGTACTATTTATCAAACTCCACGCCGAGTTCCACGCCAAACTCCGTACAAAACTCTCTATCGGAACATGAACTCTACAATTCTTCGAACTTCACGGCGAATCGCTCCGTCCCACCATATCCGTACTCTGCAGACCTACGTAACATCGTAGTTTTTGGGAACACGCAGGGCTTCTACCACCGCGGCTGTTGGTACAACTGTGGGTTGTATCTGCCCACGTCCATTGCTTCTCAGCAGGACCAGGTCCAGGTCCCTCAACAGTCACAGTCCTATGTGGCTGCCATGCAACCGCAGCATCCTACGCAGCAGGCACCCCTATTGTCAACACCCCAAGTAAATCAACAAGCGCGGTTTCCTTACGCAGGAACACCTAGATTTGCCGAGCAAGACCAGATATATGAGTTAAGGGAGCAAGTACCTCCACTGCCAGCCGCAGCCAACCAACGAGCGCAGGTTTTTCCGATTGGGAATCACATACCGCCGCCACATCCTCAACCCAGGGCACAGGATCCACCACTAACGGGTGTCTACATGGTTACAGGACAAGCACCTCTTCAGCCAGGAACCTCCTACCACTATCAGGAACCTCCGCAGCCCCAGCATGTTCCGCCGCCCGAGCAGGTTCCTCTGATCCATGGATATGCGTACGCACCAACTGCTGCACCGAATGTCCAAGCTGAAGTCCTGGCAACTCCACATCTGGGATATAAGCAACCTCTACAATATCAGCATGTTCCGCCTGCGTCGCCACCCCAGCATATTCAACCAGCGCAGCATTTTCCACCAACTCAGCATATTCCACCGCCCCAGCAGGTGCCTCCCACCCATGTTTCGTCCTATGCACCAACATCTCCACCAAAGGCCCAAGCCGAAGTTTTGTCAACTCCACACGTGGTGGAGATCGTCTTGGGACCCTCAGTTGCGGTCACCAAAACGGAAGACAAAATAATAATTGACTTGCGACCACGGTGTCCTCGAGGTCCAGTGCCAGAGCATCAAAATCCTGTGAAGGAATCGCAACAGATTATTGAAGTAATTCAAGATGTAAGTACCTATAAATTATGCTATGCTTTATGATCAAAGCAACATACATTTAAAACATATCAACCTTCAAGAAAAAAGTATATCAATATATAGTATAATATTTATATAGATAAGTAAATATTATAATCTATCCAATTTTAAAATTTTGTATAATCTAGTTAGTTTCCATTTCATATATCATTTTTGTATTTTGATTAAGTACATTAAAAAAAGATCAAATATAACAAAATATTTTACTATTTACTGGCGTCTTAAAATAGTTAGTTGGTATAGAAGTTAATAATACTTAATAATTAATTACTACTTTAAACTTAAAACAAACAATGTTTTTCAGAATCCACATGTCAACAGTTTTGCACATCCGCCGTCAGGACCAAGGCATCCAATACCTTCATGGAATAAATCAAACTATGTAACTCGTAATATTCCAGTGGATGCAGCAGTGCGGGTGCCGATGGTACACCGCATACCACCTACAATTATTTATCATACTGACATGGTTCAAGATGAGGAAAGCGCTCCCGTAACTGGAGCTGCGAATTTGGTTCCTAACCCGGATTTCAGTTGTCCTGCTCAGGCTGTCGATATGACGGTGATCCAGCCAGTAAATAATTCAAGCCAAGTTCCCAACTTGGTCATGGTAGAAAATGAAAATGTAGGACACATACAGCCTAAGATAAGTCACCATCTCAATATGATTCAGGAACCGGAAACCGTTTTATCAGCTATAGATTACAACCGCAATTATAATTCTTCCGCTAGGGCTGTCGATATGACGGTGATCCAGCCTGAAAATAATTTAATCCAGGCTCCCAACTTGATCGTGGTAGAACAGGAAATTGTGGAACGCATACAACCTGAGATTGTTAATCATCCTCTTATGGTTCAGGATCCCAGTTCGACCATACTACCGAATACCGTCCCACCAACTAAAGCTTCTGATTTCGTTTCTAACCCGTATCAGAATTCTCCTGTTAAGGCTGTCGGTTCAGTGGTGATCCAGGAAGAAAATAACATAATCGTGATAAAGCCGGAAATTGTAGAACGTATACAATCTGCTATTCAACAACAACCAAATATTGAAGTTCAGGATCCCAAATCGACCCTACAACCGATAACCGTCCTACCAACTAAAGCCTCTGATTTGGTTCCTAACCCGGAAACCGTTTTATCAGCTATAGATTACAACCGCGATTATAATTCTTCTGCTGGGGCTGTCGATATGACGGTGATCCAGCCTGAAAATAATTTAATCCAGGCTCCCAACTTGATCATGGTAGAACAGGAAATTGTGGAACGCATACAACCTGAGATTGTTAATCATCCTCTTATGGTTCAGGATCCCAGTTTGACCATACTACCGAATACCGTCCCACCAACTAAAGCTTCTGATTTGGTTTCTAACCCGTATCAGAATCCTCCTGTTAAGGCTGTCGGTTCAGTGGTGATCCAGGAAGGCTCCAACATAATCGTGATAAAGCCGGAAATTGTAGATCGTATACAATCTGCTATCCAACCAAATATTGAAGTTCAGGATCCCAAATCGACCCTACAACCGATAACCGTCCTACCAACTAAAGCCTCTGATTTGGTTCCTAACCCAAGGAATCTAGTCACTTCTTCAAATAAATCAGATTATGGAACTCAGAATATTCCAATGGATGCAGCAGTGCAAATGCCACTTGTAGACTGCATAATACCTCAAATTATTTGTCACACCATTTTGACCATAGAACCGGACACCGATCTACCAACTAAAGCTTCTGATTTGGTTCCTAAGCCGGATCATAATTCTTCTGCTAAGGCTATTGATTTGACGGAAGAAAGTTCTTCAAATCAGGTTCCTAACTCGATTGTGGTACAACAGGAAACCGGAAACCAAGAATCTCACAATTCAACCTTAAAGGAAGAGGAAAAGAAGTCTGATCTTGACATTTCTAAAAAAGATATCGCCCAAAAACAAGCTCCCGAATCGGAGAAGCAATCTGGAGCCACTTTATTACCACAGCAGAACTTGAAACTCGAATCCCATGCCATTGCGGACATTAGGAAAGGAATGGATCAGTTGCAACTCCCTGATCCACTGCCCGATCTGCTGCCAGAGGCACCCTTGACAACTTATATTCCTGAGCCAACTAAACAGGAACCCATCACTAGTTCACAAATTACCAATCCACTAAAGGAGAAGAACTCACAGCCAGCGTCTCTCAAAGAAAACATTATAACAAATATACAGCAACCTGTGAACAAATCCGAGCAAATCTACCCAACGCCAGAAGAAAACGTGAGTCATAAAAATTGTTACTAGCCGAAATGGATCACTTGAAGTAATTTTCTCATTTTGTTTCACAGCCAGCGTCTCTCGAAGAGAACATTATAACAAATATACAGCAACCTGTGAACAAATCCGAGCAAATCTACCCAACGCCAGAAGAACACGTGAGTCATAAAAACTGTTACTAGCCGAAATGGATCACTTAAAGTAATTTTCTCATTTTGTTTTCAGGTTCCTAAAATTCCACAAGAACCAGAGGTCAACGCGAATCAGTGGCCACCTTTGGGCAGTCGTTCACGATCCAAAGCAGCGCCAAAGAAGGAACCTATTTCACCGGAAAACACATTACAACAGTCAGGATCGGTAAATTCATCAAGGTACACGTGCAGGTTGCTTGAAACTCGGAACACCAATAAATCCATGGAACGCAGAGTACCCCCAGCAGTCGAGTCCAAGCGCAATCTGTCCAAATATAAAAGGGATTTGGTTATGCAACCAAAGGTTACCGGCCAAAATGACCAACAAGGTGTAAAGGAAGCCCATGTTAAGCCCAAAGGAACCGAAACACCTAATCAGTCGCTCAAGGTTATAAAAACGAAGAAGGATTTGATTTCTCAACCCATAGGACTCGATCCACAAGGCAACAAGGAAAATCAGCCACAGGCAATAGTAGTTAAACCCGAAACACCCCCACTCAATGGACTGAAAAACAATAGTGATATAATTTCCCAACCTAAGGCGATCATACGAGATGTACAGCAAGCTAAATGCGAAAACCTGTCAAAAGTAACCAAAGTACCTGTACCGGATACAAAATCACTCAATGTACTGAAGAAAGAAAAGGATATGATTGCTCAACCAAAGGTTGTCCTACGTGATGATAGGCAGTGCAAAAAAGAAAACCCTTCAAAGCGCACATTAACTGAAATGGAAGTTAAATCGCCGATTGCTCCTCAATCAGAGTCTGCAGCAAACGTAAAAAGCTCTTCGCAAGTTAAAAAACCTTTGGACAATAAATCATCGGAAGTAAAATTGCCACCCAAGAAAAAACTAATGATAAATTCACCACCAAAGACTAACGACAAACCCAAGGATTCTGTAACAGATTCAAAAGGCTCTACGCAAGTTAAGAACCCTGTGAGCACCTCGCAGCAAAAGCCTTTGGAAAAAATCATTATGAATTCACCATCAACTCATCACAAACCCAAGGAACCCGTAACAGATTCAAAAAGCTCTACGCAAGTTAAAAAACCCTTAAAAGCATCACAGGATAATAAGGATAGTAAGCCCTTGGAAATAAAGTCTCCCGCAACAAAAAAACCCATGCTGGATTCACCACCCAACATTCAGCACAAACCCAAGGAGCCAGCCTCAACAGATTCAATGCGTACATCCAACATGTTCGAGCTCCTGGAGGTCGACGATGAGGAGGTTGGCCAATTGGAGGAGCCCGAAATCAAAGCCGATCCCCAGAGGTCGGGCAATTTAAAAAGGAAGGAGAAGAGGCGTCTTAAAAAGCAAGAAACAGCTAAAAAGAATCAAATACGGTCTAATAAGATGGCTGCCAAAAAGGCGGCAATAGCTGAAAAGGAAAAGTCTGAAGTGGTAAAGCCAATGCCAAGCAGTGAGTCATTTGTAGAAAGCCTTCCCGAAAGTACAACGAAACTGAAAAGAATCGAGAAAAACGAGCTGGGCCTGTGGCGGCTAACCGATATCACCAAAAAGTATTCAATGCCAGAATCACCCACTGCAAAAGATGTTACGGGAAGTAAACCCATTGAGCCCCGGCCACCACCAGGTGCTCCTGTGCCCCAGCCTGCGCCGCGTCCTCCAGGTCCGCCACCGGCTTCTCCTCGACCAGCACCTGCTGGCAGTTCGGTGCCAGTGATTGCCAACAACCAAACATTTAAATCGGCCACCAACAGAAAGAACGCTACGTTAAGTAGGTTCATGAATGCCATAAGTCTAGCCGCCTTGAAAAAATCCAAAGTACCTGAGAATAAAGCATCAGCCGATGGGTCTAAGCCTACGACTGCGAAGGACAGCACTCCAACACTACGTTTACGACCACAGATGCTAACTAAGGAGGAAGTAAAACCATGTCAGTGCACATTGTCAGTTGAAACAGCACAAAAAACTTTAAAGGACTCAGATCTAAATCCATTTAGAATATTAGAATCGTTCGGATTCCCAAAAAGCCAAGATGTTGCAACAGCTAAAAGTCAACTATCTGATTCTGGAGCTCAAGAAAGTAATTTGAACAAATCAAGCGAGGTCAAGTCGTCGGTTGAAGCAGCACCAGAAGCCTCGAAGAAGGTTGATCTCAATCCATTTAGAAGTGTGGCACCCGTTTTAAGCCAATTACTGGATTCTGGAGCACAAGAAAGTAGATTGTTACAGCCAAATATCAACCAAAAAATCAATCAACTTTTTCTTCTTCCCCAAAGGATTCCCGGCCTTGAGAAACCCGTTCCTGAAACTTATGATTTGCAAAAGCCTCCTGAACTTAAAGATACCCGATCCATGATTCGGAAACAGAGTAGACAAAAGGATAAACTTGACAGGAGATACTGGCCATTCATAACTGCGACGGAGCTGAAGGAAAATCGTATCCGGTTTTGAATCGAATTTTCGATCTTTCTCCAGTAATACTAAATGGCAAAGGTTTATAACTTAAGTGACTATTCGAATGCACTAAAAATCAGAATCATATTTCAAAACATACTGTAATAATTATGGTATGATATGATTTTTATTTATGTGATCAGGCTTATAGCCAAAACGAACTATAAGTTATAGTGATAAGTATATATATATATGTACTAGTCTATATTTTTAAAATATTGTATACACTCATTGTATTATTCATAATCATTATAACAATACAAAACTAACAGAACTGCCTAATTCATTTTTCAACGGACTGTAAATAACACTTGTAAAATATAATGTGTTGCAACTAATAAAATGTTACGTTAACTAAACCTGGTCTAATAATCCTTTAAAATAATAACCCCTGCTGGTCATGGAACTTTATCCCTCACAGCCTGATATTGGAAACTGGAACTTGGAATTCTTCTTTCAGCCGAAACCTGTGAATTTCCACAACTAGGATTGGGTAAGACAATGCACCCCGTCAACTGCTTTATGATCTCATTCCGTTTGCACTGATCTCTTCCAGATCTTTCAGATCTTCCTGATCTCTACCAGCTTCATCCAAGACGAATGCCGATTTCTATGGTCCTCGGGCTCGGGACTTAGCCACAGTTTGGACTAATTAAGTGTCGAAAGGATTACCAACGCCTACCCCCAGGGTGTGTTGTGATTTACGATACCTGTGTGCTGTGCTACCTGTCGGCAGATCCTCATTAGCATGAGCCGACGGACGAGGATGCACCGGAGGAGGTGGCATCTAATGCGCCTGAGTCCCGGTGAGCGCGTGTGCCATTCATTGAGTCGCCTCCATTCACCTGCATTCACCTCCATTCACATGTACGTATGCATTCCTATTCTAATTTCTAAATCCTGTTTTTCTAACCGACTGTGTAGAACTCATTTGGCTTAGCCCTATGCAGCCATTGCTTTCGTATTGCAGGCGAATCCTGCAATTTTGTTGTGCCTCCAGTTCGAAATCCTTTCGCCCGTTGCACAATGCCTTTCGGGATCTGATGCAGCTGCTCGGTTCGGGCGGTGTGGGTGCCCGCTCCCAAACATTTGCATCTGGCTTAAGACGACGATCCCTAAGACGCTCTAAGCCAAATGGATGGGCCCATTGTCTACTTGTTTTTTGTCCACACATCCAGCTGTCCCTCGTCAGTGATTGACAATCCCAATGCACTCATTTGTAGTACAAAAGTTCCTATCTGTAAAAAGAATCTGAATCAGTCCTTAACACACTTTCATAATTCTGGTATAATGTGATTTTCATTTGTGACATGATAAAGATTACAAAAATTCAACATAAGAATGTCATTAATTCAGTTGAATCTTAGATCAATGTTTAAAATATGCCAAACCTATATATATATTTATTTTTAAAGTCAAATCACATTTTATACTAGCTTCAAAGAAATTAAAATTAAATTAATTTAAAATTTGATTTATTTATAATATGATATCATATTTATTTTATAATACGATTTGTATTTACAAAATATAAAAATAAATACAAAGTAAAAGTATGATTAATTCATTTTTTTATTCAATTTAAATTATATATTCAAAGTCTAGTTTCAAATAAACCCCTAGTTTATTTCAAATTGGGTTTTTTAACATAATTGATCTCATTACATTTGTATACCTTTTTCCTTAAGATTGGTTACGACTCTTTTGAAAAGAGATTCTTAAGAACTTATTCAGATATATAGACTATGTATTTGTTATACTTGGGTTGTAATTTAGGACTTTCTCTTCCACTTTCTTCCGAGCCACTTTCGTAATATCTTCATTTGCGATGGGCAAACTTGCGCTGCGCCTGTCAGCTGCACGTGGTCACGTGGTCACCTCAATTTGGGCCCATCAAACGGGCGACTAACTCATCTAATTGGCCCGCTCTTCAACTCCACTTGGCCTCTGAAGTGCCTATCGTAATTGGATCTGGCTTTTGCTTTTCCGACTTCGTCATGTCACATGTTGTACCCTGGGTTTTGGAAAAGGACTCACGCGTATCGATGTCCCCGCGGACATGTTCTGTTGTGATGTTTCGATCCCTATTCGAATTCCGATTCCCAACCGGCGACCCTCGATCAATTTATTGCTCAATTTATATTTGCTTAGACTGCCAATAGTTCAATAATTCATAAAAAATTCAAAAAAACGTAAGAAGCTATCGTGTGTCCTGGGAATTTGCATAAACATGATTTGCATAAGGCAGCTGCCTTCTGGAAGTAGGCATCTCCATCTCCAACTCCGTCTCCGGATCCTGTCTCCTTGGCGCGGCAAAAGGTGTGAGCTCATGTAATAGCACCGAATGTGACTCTACCTGGACCTTCCTTCTCCTCCTTCCTTATAGAGCACCCAGTACCCAGTACCTCTCATTTCCATTCCGCTCTGTTGTTGTTTGCCATCCGTTGTTTTGATATGTAAGTTGATATATGATATTTGATTTTTTGGAGAGACTTTTGGGTGTCGCCGGGGTCTCAACTTCAATTACGGCAAATGGCAAGCACAAAGCTAGTTAGGCATAGTCATGGGTTTCCATCTGCCCTTTGGTTCTGGAGGGGGTGAGGTTTTGTGGAGTTCCCTTATTTTTTGAAGTTAGGATCACAAGGTTAAAATATTTGCAACTTAGGATCGCAGGCTTAAAATATAACATGGAATATTTATCAACGTAATACTAGTTTAATTTTGGTTTAAAAATTTAATTAGTAATTTAAAACATGGTATTTTACAATTGAATGGTAATATTTGGTATTTTTCCAGTATTTTTCTGCAACTTGAAATATCTATCCAAGTTATGCTAGTTGAATTTTGGTATATACACTTAATTACCATTTAAAACATGGTTTAAAACAATTGAAATGATCTCGGGGTTGAAATATCTGCAGGGGTATATGCTAAGTTTTCTGGTCCTTTCGTGTTTTTTAAAATATATTTCTTTCTTTTTGCACTCTTTGCATAGTCACAGCTGCCGCTGCCACTGGAGTTCTATGCAAAATAGTCCAAGTCGGGCGACTTTTAGTCGCGCCTGTCAAGCCAAGTCCATATGGCCACATGGCAGGGCAGTGCAGCGAGGATCGCTGTAGCGGAACACACGCTACCTACCTGTACAGGATGCACCCCCTGAACCCGACTCGAAAAGAAAACCCGACCTTTGCTGAAGTGCGTTTGTAAATTTGTTTGCCAAATCAGTTGGCGACAGAGCGCGCGCGAAAAAATAAAAGAAAAGAAAAAGGAGGAAGGATCCCACCATTTGGCATTTGTCACCCTCCGATGATCACCCTCTTCCTTATCGACGCCTCGGGATTCTACTTTTGCATTTCCCCTGGAATTTCCTTTCATTAGTGCAATGCGGAAAATTGCAAATGATTCAATTTTAATCCGATGCCGCGTCTCATCTCGTCCCATTTAAATTTTTGCGCACTTCAAGCAATCCGAACTGAATCTCACGGGGTGTAGACTTATGGAAAAGGGTTCAAGGATCCTAAGATGATTTTGTCACATCCCGAGAGACTGCTGTCAAGTGAGCCGCACTTAATGAAGTAGCAAAGGGAAGATCGCAACAAAGATTGCCGAAAAAGATCGGCCAAAGTTTCGCACAAGATCCCCGGCTCCCGGTTGCTGGCAATTGTTATAATAATATTTTCAATGACATGACAGTCCCATAGATTTGCATTAATGATATGCGGCCCGATGATGTGCAACATTTGTTCGTCCTGCCCCTGAGAAGAAGGGAAAGGGTTGATGTGTTGCTGTTGCTCTTGTTCCTGACGGAATCTTGATGGGTTTCCACTTTTTTTTTGTGTCTTATCCTAGAAGTGTTGGGTTCCTTGAGGAATATTGGCAATTATAGCAGTCGCTATGCACGATGATGCATGGCGATATTATGCAGAGCATATGCAAAGCAGGGGGGAGTCTAATCCAGATCTAAGAAGCCGTAAGATTGATTATGTCGAGGGGCCTGCAACTGACTAGGCTAGGCGCTTCCGTATTGAATATTTATGGAAATATCCGCAATCTTCTTCTGGGCCGCACTCTTTTGGGTTTTCCTGAGTTCAGTTCTTGGGATAAAAAAAATTGATTGATTATTTCCAAGGCCGCGACGGATTATATTGAAATTATTCTTTTTGAATGCATCTTCTTTTGACATTTCCTCATATATTTCCTCATTTCCTAATGCATATTTTTTGTGGATCAAGATTCCCACAGATCTTCCTTCCGCATATAATACAGGGATAATACTTTACATAATTAAAGACCCTTATAATTAAAATTTTTTACTTTTAAAAAATATTAACTAATTTAAATTGTCTTCCAAATTTTAAACAGATAGTGAGAACTTGCACCAATATCATAATGGACTTTCCCCGAGACTTGGTCTGGATTTTCAGCTGTGACCGCAGGACAAGGACCTTGGATCTGGCCACTTGCCGTAACCTTTACACCTGCCTTTGACCCAGTGTGCCTGATGATGTGCGGTTTGGCAGCCCAAATAACATGTTATGTGCGGCATAATTGGACCGAAAAAATTAAGGATGAGTCGAAAAGTCAAGGGCAGCAGCAGGAACTTCAAGGACCCGAAGCAACTGAAGGACATTGCCCCGGCCAACAGGTGAAATTTGGTGTTGCGAGGGATACGGCTTGTTAGAACCTCGATAGAAGTCTCTCGACTGTCCATTTCTCTAGCACATTTAGCACCTTCGTGTGGTACTCCGCCTTATCCACTTCTCTAATACACTGGGTGAAAGGTATAACATATTATTTAAGTGCCCTTAGACCTAAATAGTACTATAGTTTAAAAATGTTTTTCTAACGATTAATGAATGTTTTCATCTATATATTGAAATGCTAGTTTTAATCAGTACGTTTAGCATGGATTTTTCTTATAAATGTTAATGGTTGTTGATATCAGGTTTGAAGATCAAGTTTTTACTTTAGTATTAAAATGATAGGGTTAATCAGAACGTTTAGGATGTGTTTTCTTTATAAATGTTAATGGTTTCCATTTTTCGATTTAAGGTTTAAAGATCAAGTGAAACTATATTATACTATTACAAAAATCTTGTACATATATATTTATATTTCATTATTAGGAGATGGTATAATTTATTTAATTTCCATATAATATGGTTATATATGGTATGCTGAAGATTAGATTTAGATATACCATTAGTATATGCATATATAATCAATATTTGTATTCCGCAGATAGAAGGCTACATGAAAATGAAAGAATACCTCACTGATGACCGATTTTGGCAACATTTTTCCTCCGAAGTGAGGGGCGCCCGCAGGATCCAGTGACAACATAACTGTTAAGCGCTAAATGTCCTTTGTCCTGGTCTCCTGTTTTTGCACATGCTGACACATTTGCACACACGTCGTCGTTGGCGAGTGACATTGACTTCCTGACAGGACATGCAGGAACCGGGAAAACTCTCCAGCAACACGGCTCAACCCGCCCTCTGGTCGCCGGGCCCCTGGGTTCTCCTGGTTCTCCTGGTCCTCTGGGGTTTCGGGCTGTTTTTGCAACTGTTCGCGCCGATCGATCAGATCGCCAGGCGATAATGGAGGAGGCACGCGTGCGTGGCCAGCGGTTCTCAAGCGGGCATTGCCAATGGCAGTGGCAACAAAGTGCGGGTCGAAAGGTGCGTTAAATATTGTCAATTCAATCGGTTCGGTATCTATCTATCCCCCTCTATTTCACGATCCCAACACACCGATACGACTTTTGTCACTGTCCAAAATTAAGCGGGTGCCTGGGCGCCGGTGTTTCCATTTCATTTTCCATTTTCGCCACTCGAGAATCGTTTAAATTGCAATTAGAGTTTTGGAGTGTGCCCGCTTTTAATGGGCGATTTTTCACAATTTTCTCAATTTCCCGAAATGGGTTTTCAATTGAGTGCAGATCGCCAGATTTCATTGTTTCGCCCGGGAACATCTCTTTCGCTCTATTAAAGTGTGTCCACAAGATACAATTAGAGACATTTCAATTAAAAATTTGTATTCCTGATTTTTCAATGGGAATTTTGGAAAAATAGGACACATTATAATAATGGGATCCGATAATATAACCTATTTAAAATATACCTAATGATATTAAAGTGTTAGAAAAGTATAAGAAAAACTAGAGATATTTCATTTAAAAATGTGATTTTTAAATTATGATTTAAAAAAAAGGATGGAAATACATTTTCTAGTGGGATCCGGTAAAATACAATTTTTGGAGTATAAGAGTTTATATAAAACTACTTTAACATGCCATACTGCACCTATTAATTTTCTTGGCTAAAACCTTTTGAGAATACCTAAAGAAACATAAGAAATCTAATTTATTTTGGTTACCCTTTCAGATTTTCCCTATCTACGATCAGTTATGGAACCTTGCCTCAACTAACACTCTACTCATTACTCGTCAACCATCCGAAACCAGAAGATAGCGAAGATTCCGAGGTTCCCAACTACATGGCACTTCCGGATTTCGGAATGCGTAAGTATCCGTTTCACTTTCAATCAAAACGAAGTTAAAGAAACGCATGTTTAATGAGACGACAAGTCCAGAACTGGACAGGGGAAATTCAGAGCGGGAAAAATGAAAATTCGGCAGCGGTCATTAGCCTGAGGGACAAGGAGAACAAGAACAAGAACCAGATAATAATAACAATAATAATAATGGGCAACAGCCCAAAACAGCGCGGTGGAAAACTGAAGAAAAGCGAGAGTAATAAAAAAGCAGCGACATCAACAGCGGCGTGAACCTTTCTTTTCGATTTTCCTTTGGGAAAGTTGGAAAGTTCAGGGCGCGAACGACGAGGGTTTGACAAGGAACCTGCCCTGATTTCGGCGGGTTATACATGCATGCCTATATCCTTTGGCCAGGCTGCTTGACCGCTCGACCTTCCGGCGATCGAAACTCGAAGGAAGTTCGTCGGGGGTATCACATAATAAAGTATTTTACTTTGTTTTGCCTGTCACAGGGCACAATGTAGGCTGCACGAGATGATGGTCAACCCATCATCTGCATATGAAACTTTCACGCTCTAGTGAACATTGCCATGGGAAGTGAAGGTTCCTTACCAGACGTGTTAACGCTTTTGGCTTAACCCACTCCTTTCGTCTCAGGGGTTGGACAAAATGTTATGACAGCTCATTTAACGCCGCGTCTCAAGAGTAACCCATCGGCGACCCATCGATCGGTTGACATCCATCTGGCCAGTTCCGGCTAATGAGGTTGGGACTCCTTGGGGAGCTGTGGGAATAGTGGCCTGGGTTCTGTCTCCTCGTCTCTGCAGGATGCCTTTGCATAGTTGATTGCTGCTTATCCTTGTTTTCTAACGAGTTTTAACTACTAGTTTTCGTAATGCTCTCGATTTTAAGTCTACTCTACAGGCGGTCAACTAATTGGGGACTTGCTTATTAGGATAGGTTACATGGTTTTTCTGTAATACTTAAAGGTTATCTTGAAGCAAAGTTTATATTTTCCATAACCCATGGTTCCATGGGAAAACATTTCTGGAATACCTCATCCGCTTATTTTCTTTGCAAGGGCTTCTTTATAAACGAATGCACTAGTCACTAAAACCATATTTAGTGTAACATAAGTTTATAGATCCCCACTAAACTTATCAGCCTTGTGGCAAAGATTTATAAAACCCGAATTATATTTAATCCTAACTATAGTAAGGATATGGATTATATCTTTATACATATATATATGGATTATCAAATTAGGATTATTTCGAGTGTTACCACCTATAAAGATTTAATACATTTTATATAAAATAAATCTAATTATAATGTTATGAAGAAACATAAAATAAGCTATATATCCCTACTTAACTTAACACCGAAGATTTTTAAAATCCGTATTGTTTTTTAATCCTATCTTTATATGGATTAACAAATAAAGAGTTGTAACACATCTTGTTTAAGATCTAATTATGATTTTATGAAGAAAAACTTTGATTTCATGGAACAGCGTTATAAAATAATATTTTTGATCAAAATATTTTATTTCTGGAACCTCATAAAGCCATTACCAAATTTTATTGCCTTTTTATGAACTTGTTTCCACAGAAACCTTTTCCAAATCCCAGTTTTCATAAGGAAAGTTGGGCCACTTCCTCATCCAAGATCCGCTTAGGGTTTATGTCACCTCAAAGTTACTACCTGTATTATTTCCAGGTAGATATTAACATTATCAAGTTAGATCCCACATATCTTGGCTGCTTACCCACCGAATTCGTGGGCATTTGAACCGTAAATAATAATTGCGACAATTGTGGCTCAACCCCTTGGGCCCTCATAAGAGTCCAAGTTTCCAACTCAGACGTAGAACCGAGGAGTCTTCTGGAATCCCCTATATGGCGCGCTATCAGAGCATTAAAACGCTCATTAACCCGGTCGCTGTGAGAAAGAAGACCACTTGGGCACTCAGGAACATTCCTCTCCACGCACCGCTGAGCTTCGAGAGGTGTTTTGCATAAACTGCTGGTTCCTTGTGGTTTCCTCCGAATTATGACAGCCCCCTGCCCCCTTCCTCCTTCCTACTGCCCTCCACCACTCCTCCGATTCAACTCAAGGTTAATTTTGCATTAAAAAAATGATTTATTCCGACAAAAAAACATTCTTAGGGCTATGAAAAAAAAGTGTGTTGCATTAAAATAGAGAAGGAATATCCGCGAGGATTAGCTATGTTCCGCCAGGGAGAAGCTGAGGCGTCGCTTGGTGGCATCCCTGGCCTGCACTTGCAGCCACATGGCGTCCAGCTGGCAGGCGTCCTCCAGCTCCTCGCCACCCAGTCCCCGGTTCAGCGGGCAGTGCTCCTCCTCCAGCTCGCAGTCGCTGGTGGAGTTGTGCCCACTGTCCGGGCTGATGTGGCGTAGCTTCTGGGCGGGAACTGCTCCGGATCCGGACCTGGCCGCAGCCAGCAGCTTCTGCGCCGACTGCCTGACGCTGGAGGAGATCTTGGTGGTGATCTTGCGCTTGCGCCGCACCACCCGCTGCCTGCGCAGCTGCAGGGAGTGCCTCTTGCCCTGCGACTGGATGGGATTGGGAACCGGAACGGGGGAGCACACCTCCCGCTCCTCGAAGCCATCGGCTGGCAGGGAGTCCCTCCGCGAGGGCGACTTCCAGTACTCGCACAGATCGCTGGCCGGATCGAAGGCGGGGCGGTAGGTGGGCGAGGGGACCTGGGCGTGGCTGTGGCTGCTCCGGAGCACCTGCTGCCTGTGCCGCTGGCGGAGATGCTGCCTGGGCTGGCGGAGATGCGGCTGCCTGGCATTGGGCAGCACCTTGCGGTTGCTCTCCAGGATGGCATCGATCATGCGCTCCAGGGTGACATCGCCCATTTGGCTGGAGCTGAGTGTGGTCTGTCCAGCGGCAGGGGGAGCGGGATGGGGCAGATCCTTCTGCTCCAGGTAGCGTGGCTTCTCGAAGTAACTGTCCGGGATGCCCACGCCGCGCAGGGCGATCAGGGAGCCGGGGATGACGGTGGCATTGGGGGAGTACTCCGCCTCGAAGGTGGGCAGGGTGCAGGCGAACTTGGGGGGAGCTGCAGCAGCCGAGGGCACAGCTCCAATGGCTCCTCCTCCTCCTCCCGATG